GGAAAGACAGGTCTTGGTTTCCCTGAAAGAACTACATGTATTTATTTTCTGCTAATGTTGTGGAGTAGTCTGACAGCTAATACCATGATTTTGTTAACACCCTTGCTGTACAGGGCAATGATCTCAGCTGACCTAAACCAGGATGGATATGATGATCTAGTGGTTGGAGCACCAGGGTACAGCACACTGGGCCGTGTTCAGATAGGACGGGTATATGTGGTCCATGGCAACCAGTCAGGTTTGCCACCAGAGGACATGGATTTAGATGGGAAAGCTGACCAAGTACTACAGGGTCATCAGGTGAGAGGTCAAGTCAGACATTTGTCACTTAACTTTTTTTTTCCTGAAAATGTGGTAAATATTGACTGAGCAACAGTATCATTAATACGTATGAGGATTATTCCTGAAATGCCCCTCTCAATAAAAGGATGTCATATGCATTTCAAAAAAATAACCAATACATAAGTCAGGTACAGTTAAAGCAATGGTGATCTATAGGTTCACTTTAATTACTGTGCCAGATAAATGCATATTAGAACATAATTTGCCCTTGAATAAAACTGAGGTAGTGTCTTTGTAAGTCACAGTATGGCTCATTCGGGTCCCTGCATTTAAAAGAATTTTGTGATTTTCCCTTCATTTTTCATCTGAAATTAATTCAATATAAGTTTCAATGCCTTTGAAGCTACATTTTTTCATTGATGGATAACTTATCACAAATCCATTGTTTGTCTTTACTAAGAGTACGTGTTATTTTTAAAAAAGAGCAAACTATGATTTGACATGATGGTGACTGACTTGCAACTGAGAAACAGGATCTTTTTGAGTAATGAAGATGATCCTCTGTAGCAAATATCTTTATTCACAAAGAAGAGAATAGAGAGAGATGAGATACGTTTCCTTTTAATCTGTTTCTGTGGCTACAAACTGTGGAGTAAAAGGTGCTGTCTTCTTACAGAGTGTTTTAGTGGTTCACAGCTGTAATACTGTTAACATGAAAGTTCATAAACTTAACATCGATGGTGCACTAGGGTCAGAAGAGGTAATAGCAAAGCAGCACCATATTGTGTTCAGTTATCTTATATTTTAACACCTCCTCATCCTCAAACAAACAGTTGACTCTGGGTTAGTGTTATTAGTATGGCAGTTATTACTTAGGAGAACAGTGATGCTAAGAAAATCTTAAGAATTATTGAGAGAGATTTTTGGCATCTCTGTTTCCAGTTCTTCCCTGTGTTGTGATTGCAAATGTGCATTAGGTTTTGACGAGTTTGTCTTGAAAACATCTGATATTTTCATAACAGCAATCACTCTTTTTTTTAGCCTTCAGGAAGACTTGGTTCTGCCTTGGCAGTCTTGGACTTCAGTGAGGATGGAGTACTAGATCTGGCAATTGGAGCACCTTCTGTGGGATCTCTCTTTCTTACTTACAAAGTAAGCCACACATACAAGTTTTCTGTTTTGGTTTTTTTTTCCCCCCTCCAAACAGAACATTTTTATTGATACATATTGTTTTAAGCAGTGTAGTAACAGAATATCTTTTGTTGCTCAAGGTGACACTGTCATTTAAACACAAAGGTTTGTAACTTTCGTGGGTACTTTGACTAGAATAATGAGAGTTATCTGTATTTCTCTTTCAGTGGTCTTTTTACACATTAGAAATCCAGAACAGATTGCAGCTTTGCAGAACTGATGGGCTGGAAATGTAAAGAGCCATCCATTAAACAGAAGTTTTTATTTAGGAACAGAGAGTCTGGAACAGAATCATTGGTCAATGAGCCTTGTCAAATGCTGTCACAGGCCAGCAGATATCTAAAATGTGATGTGCACACAGACACTTAGTAAAATAATAAGTTACAGAGGCTTAATGACTTTTCACCTACCAGATGAGCCCATGTAATGATCCCTCAGTATTCTTGGCCTACATGAACCGCGAGGCAAAATGAACCAGAGAAGGCTCTGTAGGAAAATTGCAATTGTATTAATAGCTCTTGCAGAATTGATTCACTCCCTGTGCTTTGTCTTGCATTTCATACTTGATACTGACATGCAGGTGCTGTCATAATATATTTGCTTTTCCTGCTCTTTAGGGTGCTGTGTATGTCTATTTTGGTACTGAGGGAAGAGGCTTGGCATCTCAACCAAATGTTACCATAACTTGTCAGGTATATTGATCAGGCTAACATGGGGCTACACAAGCAGAGGGGTGCGATAAAGGGGAAAGGGGCTTGTGGGCTTAGAAAAAGAATGTTAAAATCAAACGTCTGATTGCAAGGGGGGATCCCCGATGGGGATGGTACAAGCAGGTACTTGCCTAGATTGGTTATAGGTGGGAAAGACATTTGTACTCCAATGCAGGGGAGGCAGCAGGGTGAACAGAAAGAAGCAAAGCCCTCAGAAAACAAATGAACAAACAAACAAACAAAAAACAACAACAAAGAAAACAAAATTGAAGTCAGGGAGTGGGAGGCTAATTTGATCAGAAGCAAATTTAGCTCTTTAGAAGAAAGTTGCTCTGTTTTATAGGTGTTTTCAGTTCCATTTCAGGCTTAAACTAATTGCTTATTGCAGTATTCCTACTGTAATCTTGGCTGGTCCCTCCTAGCAGCTGATGTGGACAGGAATGGAAAAACTGATCTGGTTGTGGGCTCGCCATATGCACCTGGTGGTGGGCAGCAGAGAGGATTTGTGGTTGCATTTTACTCTTATTTCAACAGGAGTGACCAAGGTAATATTTATTGACTAAATTAATCCTCCCATATTTTATGTGACTGTTCATTTGTTCCAAATTAATCATAGGATAATTCAGGTTTGAAGGCATCTCAGGAGGCAGACTGAGACTCCAATACGGAGACAGCTATGAAGTCAGACCAGATTGCTCAGGGCTTTATCCAGTCAGGTCTTAAAAACCTCCAATGGACAGATTGCACAGCCACTCTGGGCAGCTTTTCCACTTTAGTATGAACCTCTCATTTTAGTTTATACTCATGTCTGTTGTTCTTCCACCTCCATGCATAGTGAAGTACCCTAGTATGCTGGGAAGAGCTTGGCTGTATCTCCTTGTTAACCTCCTCACAGGTACTGGCAGGATGCTGTTAGGGCCACTAGAAACCTCCTCTTCTCTAGGCTGAGTAAGTCCTGGTCCCTCAGTCTCTGCTCACGGTGCTACTGTTCCAGCCCACAACTATCTTGAGGATCCTCTACTAAATTTGCTCCATTTTATCAACATCTTCCCTGTTTTGTGGGGTCCAAAACCGAACAGTGTATTATAGATGTGGTCTAGGGAGGAGTAAAGGGGTAATAATCAGTTCTCTCAATCTCTTTGATGTGCTCCTGCTTATATATCCTGGGGTGCTGTTGACCATGTCTACTGTCAGAGCCTCACACTCAGCTCTCTGCCCACCAGGATCTCCAGAACCTTTTCCACATCTGCTTCCCAGCCAGTCTGTCCCCAGCCTGTATCACTTCAAGTGCATTTCCTCTTCCAGGGGCAGGGCTTTGCATTTGTCCTCACTGAATTTTGTGAGGTTCCTGTCAGCCTGTTCCTTCAGCCTGTCTGGGTCCCTCTGAATGGTAGCACTGCCCTCAAGTGATA